TAATAACTTGTTCCATTATCATACATGCATTGAACCAAACTCCACCCTGGAAGTTCAATAGTGCAGTCATGCAGACTGACACATTTATGGAGAATGCTATCCATTTATAATGCAACTACAATACCTAAAGAGCATGCAATATTAGGAAAAGCTCTATTCCTACATCTATTTATGCAACTGTTCAAAAGTTTGGGGTCAGTAAGGTTTTTTTAATAGATCAAATAAATGTTCTTTTGAATGCTCTATTAATAAAAGAATCCTGAAGAATGTATCATGCTTTTGACAAAATATTAACAGCACAACTTTTTTCAACCTTGATAATAGAAATGTTTCTTGAACATCAAATCAACATATTAGAAAGACTTCTGAAGGATCATGTGACACTGAAGACTGGATTAATGGTTGATGAAAATTCTGATTTGCCTGTACAATAATAAATTACTTCTTGAACTATTTAAAGATAAACAAATATATTAAAATAACAGGGAAAAAACTATATTTTAAAATACATTAAAATATAAATATATATATTAAAAACAAAAGGTTATTTTAAATTGTAATAATATTTGAGAATATTACTGTTTTTACTGTACTTACGTATTTTAAAATACTTCTTACCAAATTTTCTTTTAATTAAATCTTATTGGCACCAAACATCTGAACGATGTAGATATATTTGTGGAAACATATATTTGCAAGATATTTTAGATACATTTTAAATAAGAAGATTTTTAAAATGTAGAATAAACAACTGAAAACCAAATGTTTTGGGAAGCTTAAAAATGCCTGTAAATTATGTAAAATGATTAAACAGCACCAGTCAACCATCCTTATCATTATACCTTGATCTATGCATTTTTGGTCATTTTTTGGCAGAGACAGCAGGAAAGGAACATGAAATTATCAAGATGCGAGAGGTAATTGGATCGCAACATAAGCCAGATTAAAACCTGCATCTCCTATATAAGCACCACATCTGTCTGCATGTGCACACTATACCACTATAGGCCTGATCGCTCAATCTCTTTTTGTCAGATTTACAGTGTTTCATTCTACTACAGCACTACAGCACTTGGATAAGCTCTAGGCCTCGTGCTTTCTTGTTACCAGTTGCAAAACTGTCACTGAATTACTGAATCAGATTCTCCATCACAACGCGTGACTCACTGAACGCAAGCAAGGAAACACCAGCTAGCAACTAACCATCAGTGTCGCTTTTAACAAACATCCACAACAGTAGATTCCAAAAAGAGAAGTGATGCAGAAACAGAGAATGCTTAGTTTGCGATTCCTATATTCAGCATAAATCCAGACACGCGCTTTCAGTCTGCACAAAGCTTCCTCAATGTGCGATGGCACTGACCTATATTGACTTCTTCATGAGTGAATGTCAGCAACAGGACTGTGCAATATAGGCTGAATATATGAGTGCAATGTCCCCAGTCCTTGATCACTTGACTACAAAGGTTGTGCCGAGGCTTTGATGCGTCAAGCAGAAAATCAGCAGCTATATCAGCATTTATAGCTGGTAGACTGTGCAAGGAGGTATCCAGAGCAACCTGACCTATCTTACTTGAACTTTGGCCACCATCTTCCCCTATCCTCTTAACAAATTTTGCTGGTCAATGAAAATGTGGCCAGCAGATCTAGGGGCTTTCTTGAGAAAAAACATTTAGGTCTATTGTTGTTTTTCCTTTTCACCTCTGATTCAACTTTCCCTGAATGGACTGGCTCACATTCAAAAGTGCTCATGTAAGACATTTTAATTGGAGTGATGTGAGCAGCATTGCACTGAGTAATAGTCTACAGATGGGTTTACCTGAGTCCCATTATGAACAGCAAGGAGGTCAATACACACACACACACACACACACATTCATTAAACAAGTTCCTCCCACTGATATTGGTATTAATAAGTTAAAAAAGTTTTATATAGCCTAGACTAGCCTACTTGTCTGAGGAAATTTTATTCACTAATGTTCAAATTAAAAGCATAGAAATAAAATGACCAGAACGAATGTTCCGTTCCGAGGCACACTATCATACAGCGACCAGCGTTGTCCGACTCTCGAATGAATGACTCTTATGAGCCGGTTCAAGTGAACCAAATCCATACAGCGCAACAAGTGGCAATCCATTTCCAATGAACAATTCTTATGAGTCGGCTCTTTTTAGTGAACCAAATCTTTACAGCGCGACCGGTGCAGTCCGATTCCCGACCGAACAACCCTTAAAAATCTGTTCTTTTTTTTGTTAATCAAAAACATAAAACTCCACCAGCGTAGTGTGATTCTCGAGCAAATTATTCTTTTAAATCAGTTATTTTTAGCGAATCAACACATACAGGCTATAACTTACTGTGCTATGATGTACTGTACAGTACGGCTTGTATACTTAAACCAGCCTGCTGGATACAGACTGATTGTCCATATGACAAGTTTTACACATTGTGATACACGTTGTGTAATTAGTCAGAAGTATTTAAAGGGGTCATATGATGCGATTTCAATTTTTCCTTTCTCTTTGGAGTGTTACAAGCTCTTGGTGCATAAAGAAGATCTGTAAAGTTGCAAAGACTAAAGTCTCAAATCCAAAGAGATATTCTTTATAAAAGTTAAGAGTCAGTCACACCTACCTAAAACGGCTCGTTCTAACACGCCCCCACATACCTACATCACGATGAGGGAAGATTTGCACAACACCGCCCTAATGTTCACGCAAAGAAAGAAGGCGTACATTTTATTTTTATTAACTTTTTATTAACTTTTATATCTCGCTGTAGTATTGTTGCTGCCCCCATGTTGTGAATGCGCTGTGTGATTCGTTGTGAAAGCGAAACTACTCGGCCTCTGCTCACTCAAGGCCACTGTGTATGACGCTGTGTGTAGTTGTGAAAGCGAAACTACTTTGTTTGGTCTTCCAAAAGAGGACACGACTAGAAATCAGTGGTTAAGTTGTATTTACAACACTGTTCCAGAACACTTCAACCCAAATATTCAGATGTGTGATGCACATTTTGCGGAGGTTGAGGACTGTTTCCTGTGAGAGTAGCCTACAATGCCGTTGTCTGTTTCTATAAAGTGGGGCAGTTTTTATATTTTATATATTTAAAGCAAGTTTTTTGGGCAGTGTAGAGTAGGGCTTTTTGTTTGTCATTTCTCCGATCACAAATGCAGACATGGTTTTATGTTTACGCGGCGCGATGCAACGCAACGCGTAAAAAGACAGTACAAGTCATTATAATCCGTAATTATGTCCCCACTGGATGCAACGAATGCCTCCTTTATAATGGGTTTTCATGTTTATGAATCATTGCTCCGGCCTGACAGGGCATCATCACAA